ATATATATATATATGTATATGTTTTCACGTATCGCCGAAATAAAAATAACTCAGTAAAAAGTTACTAATATCTGTACACGATGTAAATTTATAGGTCTATTACGCCCGCGCGTTTCGTGTAATGTTTTAGAAACCAATCACAGGATCCAGAAAGCACGAGAAATGAGAGTCTTGCGTGAACAATACTCGACTCACGGCGGCTTGCACTCCGTACATGTATGTATATATGTATCGGTGTATATTTTACATCACGAAGGGAGTACGAGTTAGCATTCGGCGATTCGTCGAATTTATTCATCGCTATCGTAATGCCCGTATCACACTAGAGATTGGAGATTGGTCTGTAATCACGCTTGTGTCTCTTGATTAATCAGAAAGAAACTGCTAGTTGATAGTTCACGGAAAAAAACAGCTGAAAACTTAACTGATTTAGCAAATCTACGGCCTGAATTCATAGTGAGATAAATGGAGCTTACTATGACATGTTAAGCATTACGTATATATTGTAATTTATAATATAGTAATTTATGTCTCTGAAGAGGGTTCAAAATGCCCGCTGAAACATGTAAGTGCATTTAATAAAGAGTTTTGTATTACAGTATATTATTTCGCGTACGATTACAGCGTCTATAATCCCTATTTGCCCTTTTTTCACTTAAGGTGGTTCTTTAATAAATCGAGTTAGAAATGTCTGTCTAATTTTTTTATATAATAAAGTTAAAGTACTGAAATTGACATGTGCAAAATTCTGTAGATTATCAATAAAATAAGAGAGAAAAAAAATGTTGACAATGTAACATTTCACATATAACTTAGTGACAGATAAGGTTCGCAGACGCTTCTTTGATTAATTGCACACAAATCATAGACTTTTATCAAAAATAAGATTATAATAGTTCAAAATTACGATTTTAATAATCACAGAAAAGTAATAGGTCATTCTGGAAAGATATTTAATATTGAAGTGGCAAAATATTGAGTGGAATATGATGGCATGTGACAGATAAATCTAGTAATATCGCTAGAAAACATTTAAATGCTGCAAAAGATACAAATATATGAAAAAATTCAAATTGTGATTTACGCAAATTGTGGAATATAATAATTAAATAAAAATGTTGGAAAGTAAGAAATTATTGAAATAAAAAATATATATGTAAACACATTTTAAACGGGATTATTATAATAAAATAACATCGTTAAAAAATTCTTTATTTTATTAACAAAATGTATGCATATACTTACATTTACAAAAGTAATATACAAAATTATATTACACACACACACAATTTATATTTTTAAAGTAGTATTTTATTCCAATGCATTAAATTTTATTAAATTTTATTAAAGTTGTTACAAATTGCAGTAATAATTTTCTCGCTTTTTTTTTTTTAATACATAGAAAAATGTCAGCTATCGAATGCTTCACACGGCTATATAATGTGATGCATATTATTTCATTTTTTTTATACGAGAAAAAGATACCACTTTTTAAAATTGTTTTAAAATAATTTACTTGCAAAAAATCGTTTTGTTACTAAGTGTACGTAATAGTGCAACTCTTGAAGAAGAAAAATCACTCGTGCAAATTACTGTGCGACTGCTCAATAATGACGAAATTAAGTTTTTCGCAGACAAGTTTTTACTGAACAATGGCTTTTTGCAAAAACTAATGAACATTTCAAACTCGTTTAAGGCTAAATTTTTTTGTCATCACAAGGGCTACATTTTACGAGCATTTCAAAACTCTGCGCTTCAATCTCGATGAACAGAGAATGAATGAAAAAAAAAGCCTTTTTCGGTGGTTTATATTTTTTTTCTACTTAAATAACAAATCAAAGGACTCTTTCTAAACAAAACAAATAATAATAAGTAACGGGCAAAGTAAGAGTTAACACATTTCTTTGAAATTAACAAAAGAATATATTGACAAAGGTAAAATTACATAACGCAAAAGATAGAATCAAAATTAAAAAAATAATTACAAGTTACAAGTTTCGACTACCGGATTGAGCCCTCTTCAGACATTAACATAACGCA